AGAATGAAACATAGTAGCATGTGAGGAGAACACACTGTTATAAGATACATTAGGGTAGGAAGTAAATGGTTTTTTATTTGACCAAATCTGCAGAGGGATTTATGAAATAATCACATCGCTAACTCAGAACTGGGACAAACCAAATTAGAATATTCCTTTAAACATTTCAAGATACCACTATGAAACATAAATGGCCACTCATTTTTTTTTTTCCTCATTAAAAAGAGAGCATTCCATGAAGACGAGTGAAAGAGTCCTTCAAGGTTAAGTGCATCTTTTAAATCTATTTTTCTGTAGCTATGTTATGGTTAGTATAAAAGCTGAGCTTTGTGGGCTCAAACTGTGACAGTCCCAAGCTGATAAAATACATATAGAGCTATCCCAGAAGGGCATGAATATCTAACTGCTTATGTAAAAAAAAAAAAAAAAAAAAAAAAAAAAGGTGAAAACCTTCTCTTTCAGTGTTAAAAGTTGCTTTAAAATTGCTGCCCATGCTGCCTCCTTACTTAACATCCCCCTTTCTGAGGCCTTTATCGACGGTTCTATCCACCCTCTCTTTTAAGCAGCCTAAGCTGTTGAATGCTTCTGCTAGGGCAATGGTGCCCTTGCTAGAAAGACACACCAAGGTAGGCATGGAGAGATGCCATGGCCAAACTGCTAAGTTTTGCCAGGCTAGTATAATGTGTGTTGAGCAGCAGTTTGATCTGATGGGGRAAGATATGTTTGTGATGGGGACAGAACAAAAGGAAAAAAAGGACAGCTGCAGCTCAAGAGGAAGCAAGTATTAAGTAAAAAAAGGCCCAGAAAGGCAGAAAGAGAAGGAGAGAACTAGAAAATAAGAAGACAAGACAACAGCTGGGAGCAGAGGGAAGTAAAGAAGTAGTTAGCAGAATTTAAGGGCAGCAAAGGGAGAAATGACTGAGAAGGTAAGAGCCTAGAAGGCAGCAGTGCAGTGTCGAGGAGGACTGACAGATACAGCGGTGTCCAAATAGACTGAGAAATCTTACCTATATCTACACTATCATGTGCAAAACTTCTACAATAGGTAGATTCTAATTTTTAGAGTCATTTACTTAGACTACTAAAAACTCACAGACAGCATGTCCAACACTGTTCTGAACATTAGGGATGACAACGGAGTAAGCGGGTGATCGGAAGGGATAAATGGCAGTTGGGTTTGTAGTGATGATATTCTGAGAAGTGCTGGAGAACACAGTGGAGGCCGTCAATGGAAAACGCTTCCTTTTGCCTGGACGTGGTTGATAAACCCAACCTGTCAGAGATGAAAAAGATGCAGACTTCCCATTTGGGGGATGATATCTTATTTTCTGTAAAGCTACAATATCCATAATTCTGAAGTATCTAAAAAAAATATGAATCAAAAACTGCTCTAATAGTCAAAAGCAAAACTCTCCRTTTCGGTGGGCTGGCAAATGGCAGTTTTATCAGAGATGGAGCTAAAATGAGCATGTTTGGGCACTGTTATGCTACCAGCTCAGTTAGTTGACCTATGTAGCTACCACTCGAAGTGTTTGTGAGACAAAGAACTACAAACAGTGGGGAGTGACATTGCACAGCTAAGGAAAGTAAAGGAGAATGCGATATTGCACMATGGGTACAGCAGTATTCAAAACATGAATCCTTCCTGATTGTTTCATTAGCCCCTTAAATCTCACATATACCTTGGAGTTAAAATTATGATTTTTGATCTACTATTTTGATCTACTGTTTCATAAATCATGAAATTTATGATCTACTAGAAATCATGTTTGATTTTTGGCAGTAAGGAGTACACTTGTCTTTGACTTACAATAGCCAAACACTAACAGACCTAGAAATAATTTTGTAATTTGGACTGAGCAGCTTGGTTTTCTTAGGCAGGCTTAGGCAGGCTAATTCTTTAGGCTAACTCTTAGGCAGGCTAACTTTTTTTTTTTTTACTTTAAAGAAATCCTTTGTTTGAAAGTGAAAAGACAGCAGGAGAAATTCTGTTCTTTGCCTTCTGCCTGTTTATGATGTATTAGTCAGGGCTTGTCTACCTGGAATTGTCACAACTGTGAACTAGCAGATTTATGACATCATAGCCAGAAAGGACTAYGACACGCCAGGTCTTAGTGCTTTCATAAAGACTCCTCAAAAACCTTCTGCTCTGCTTTGTTGGTGCCTTTTTGATTGAACTGCAGTGTTATGGAGAAATAAATTTGTTTAGGGTACAAATTCCTAACCCTTTGAAAAGGGGTGGGGAAACATTTTCTTCTACTTGCTGGTTTGGGAGCACCAGCACAGCACCATTTGCGCTTCCTGTGGCATCTCCCTTTCCTGCTTTCACAGGAGGGGATACGTGTTGTGTCACCACAGGCCACCTGGACAGCTCCCTTGGAAGCCTGTAAAACGTTTCAACAGGCCACACTCACAATAAAYTCTGTATCTGACCTTTACACTTGTAAAGCACTCTGAAGAGCTGCTGTACATGCAGTGCTCTGAGGATGTAAGAAATTCAGAAGCTATGGAGAATGAAACATAATTTATGGACAACCTTTTAAAAAATGAATATGCTTATTCTTGCAGGTACTAAAATCTGATGAAAGGACCAAATATTTGAAAGTCTATCACTTCTTTCAACTCTATTATTTGTTCTAAAGAAAGAGATTGCTTTTTTTTCCCCTAGAATTCTTGAACTTCTACAGCATCTGGATAAATAAAGGTATGTTTACCAGGGAATTCTTCTCTGTGCTTTTCTTTTATTTTCTGAGCTTCATCATAGTAGGGCTTCTTCTGCTCTTCGGTCAGTTTGTTCCATTCCAGTCCAAGCTGAACACTGATTTCTGCATTATTGGCAGCTGGGTTAGCTTTGGCTAGAGCTGGCCGGTGAATCCTAGCCCATACCATGAACGCGTTCATCGGGCGCTTCACATGGCCACTTTTGTCCTTGCTAAACGGAGTATCCGGTATCCCTACGTGACAAAATGAGGAAAGAAGATCATCTACCAGGCAATAGACATGTTACGCTCCAAAGGTATTTCCAAAGGGAGCTTAGCAATATCCAAAAGAACTGTTGGATTCTTTCTCTTTTTTATATGAAACAGAAATTTTAAAAAATATATTGGTTTGGATTTCATTGGCTAGACTGCTTTCTCTAAYGCTTGTGTTATATAAACCATAATTTAAACTCTTATATAAAATGCTTGTATTATATAAAATATAATCATATCACTGCAAATTCATTATCACCACCCAACTATGCATCCGAACTCTAATGATGCACAGACGGATCTGATGACAGCATGGCAGTCTAGCCTCACATCTCTGCAGTTCCTTGCCTCTCTGAGGTTGTTGCTGCTATCTTCTTTCAATTTTTCTTCCCTTTCCATCCTCTTTTCTCATTTTTAGATGCCCATTTGTTAGAGGGACCTGTTTCACCAGATGGCTGTTACACAACACCCAGCTTTAGGTCCTTGTAATCAAAGACTGGATTTGCATTGAGTTGGTGACATAAAACCCAACATCTCAACTGAACTTTGAGGAGCTGCTGCCTCTATGGGAAAAACTTAGAAATGATCTTCCTACACGGTCAGTAAATGGCAAGTCTACTAGTCCTTGAGATTTCAAGTTAAAGACCTGTATGTCTTTAAAAACAGGTGCTAATCCAGATGTTTAATAGTTACTTCTTCACTTAATATCTTCTAATTTTCTCAATGAGACGTGTCCAAATGCTCACAGCTTTAAAAATCAAGCAGATGCCAAACTTTAAAGCACCATTGACTGCAATCCCGGAACCAGCTACAAGGAGACAAGGCAGACGAGGAGCGGGCAGACAAAACCGCTCTGATGGACGAACCCTTGGGGAGCTTTGGCCTCCTGAACGCTCGCACCTCAAGCGAGCCAAAGAGCGGTACGAACTACAGTGCATCCAAGGGCCGCTTGGGCAGCACTACTGTGCGTCCTCCTGCCTGGCTACACCGGCCAGCTGCTCACTGAACCCTGCCAACGCTCAGCGCTCRAAGTCCTGCCCCGGTACCTGCGTCGGAGGGCAGCACCGTGAGGGGCACGTTTTTGGTTTCGATTTTTACAGACGGCTCGAGCAGGGACTGCATTTTGAGCGGCACTTGGCTCGCGGGCACCTTGGCCACGCGCAGCAGCTCGGGCGGCGGAGCGGGGCCCGGCAGCTGGATGCGGCTCCCGGCCGGCAGCGGCTGCAGCACGAGCGGCAGCGCCAGCTCCGGCGGCGCCGCGGGGCCGGGCAGCGCGGCCGGGCCGCCCTCGCTGCCGCCCGGCGCGGCCCCGCTCGGCGCCTCGCTAGTCTCGGCCTCCTCCGGCGCGCCGAGCGCCTCGGGCGGCTCCTCCTTAACGGCCGCGGGCAGCAGCGCCGTCCCACTGCCGCCGTCCTCGGGCACCTTCAGCCCTCTGCAGCCGTCCCAGCTGCCTCGGGCCGCGACGGCGCCGGGCGCCTCGTGCCCGCAG